ATTCAATGTGAAAACCTATGTACTGCCTCTGTCTTTAACCTGTTTAGAAAACTTTCTGGAGTCACATGCTGAAGTAAATATTTCTGACAATGTTCAAAAGTTCTACTGATAACTTAATAAACTGTACTGAAACTGTAGGCTCTAAGAAAAAGTTCATAGATAAACACATGCAGAATTATCTCAGAATCCTTCCCTGAAGCAGTTTCAAATATGTTGCGCCTGGTCTTCTCTATTCTGGAGCTCTGAAGGAAAGTGCTGTAAATGGAGATGATAGCGTGAAGTCTAAAGGCACGTTGGCTATGCAGTCCATAATGAATTCAGCCAACGCGGGCAAAATGAAAGGGACAACTTGTCATCCACCCTTGAAGTGATACTGTTGGCTTAAACAGTGTCTGAAAATGCTGCACTAAAAAGGTCAGGGGAGGAGAAAGCCCAGAACTGACCCGTCCCATCAGTTATACTGCTACCGTTCCCCAGCCAGTTGAGACTACTCAATATTGGTGTAGAAAGTAAAGGTTACCCATAGCTGAAAATGGTCAGATAATTCAGGGATGAAAAAGCCAGCACAGCCTGCCCATAAACTGAAAGCTCTGTGTAATGTATCTAAGTAGTGATAGGTGTAAATATCTCAAATGAGGTGCCTTTGAAGTTTTTCCAAATACTGTACATGGCAGAAGTTAAAACAAATGCAACCATGTGCAATCTGAGATGGATGTAGATTGTCTAGTTCACAGAAATTAGTCAACTTCATACTTTCATTCAGTCCTGATAACTCTTCAGTTAGTCTTCCACTGCTATTGTTCTGAGCCCGGGCTGATTCCTTGGATTGGAGGATTAAAACATTGTAGCAACATTTTCAGGAAATAGAAAAAGGGGAGAGACTTGATCATGGCTTTAGATTTCTCTGTAATTGCCTGTAATGAAGACTTCGGAAGATCATGCTTTCAAGTCTGGAAAGTAATTAATTTCTTTAAGTATGTTGAAATTGTTCACAAAATGTGTTTTAGATGAGTAAGGACTGTGATGGAATTGGGTTTTTTGTGTAATGGTCTAATATTGACCCAAATCAGAGGAATTAGTATGCAGACATTATACTTTTTGTGTGCGTGTTTGTCAGTGATAAAGAAAAGCTTTTAGGGAGTAAATCATAAAGTAATACTTTCACAAACAGTTTTCAGGAGGTACAAAGGGAGAAATTGCGTGCTTAGAAATGAACTCAACACTGCTCTTACTTGAAAAAGGTGAGCAGTGACTGTTAACTGTGGCCAGAGTTAGCAGTGATTTGCCTCTGCCTAAACTGTGATCATGTCAGTCTTGGCTTCTGCAGATTTTCTGTGAAGCTGCAAAAGAGCTGCCAGGGGGTTGTTGGTAGAGACTCCTCGGGTCCTGGTGTCATCTGTCCCCTTCCTGGCACCTGGGGGAAGGGTGTCTTGCTGCCCGCTGGGACTCATCTTGCCACAGGAGTGACGGGTGCGAGGCTTTCTAGCTGACCCCTCAAAATATCACTTTCACCGCTTAATCTATTCATTACATGCCTTTTTTTGTTAGAGACAGGTCAAATTTGAGTAACGATGGCAACCTTTCAATTTTTGCAAGAACATCAGTGTCCCGGTATGTTGCGGTGTATGTGAAGCCATATGTATGTGGCTAAAGAGGAGCAGCGCCTGTTAGGCAGGGACTTGTTTTTCAGATGAATATGTGTAGGAGGAAGAAAAACTTTTAATACAATGAGACATTTTTGGATCATCTGCTCAGATGAAAACCTGTTTTCCTCCCCTTAGACAAGGGTAAAAGGGACCAGTGAGGATCAGTGCTTTTTGGCAGTCTGTCTGCTGCTTGCATCTCCAGTACGTAGGTAACTCTTGCCATGGGAGTCAAAATTGAAGTTGCAAAGGTAAAGCACTGTTTAAAATTATGAAGCTGAAATAAGAAAATGGATTTACAAGAAAGGTCAGTTATATTTATGCCAAAGATTTACAAGTAGTTTAAAACAATCTGTGTTTGGCATGTTAACTTGTCTTTGTCATTAAAATGCTAATGAAATTGTAAACATCTGTTAAATTTATGGTGATAATGAAGCTTGTCAGCTATATCTTTCTTTTGCCAGTATTCCTGCTTAGCTTAGGTCTGCATACAGATGTGGTGGAGTGGTGGTGAGAATCTGTTTGAACTTTGGGAGCAATGCCAATGTAAAACTGCCCTGTTCTGTTTGATTTGATGATTCTGTCCTGAAGTGCTTCTACCTGTAGGTTAGGTCATCTTTAGCTGATCATTATTCCAGAGGCTTTCAAGGGTGGGTCTGAAAATCAAACTTCAGTCAAACAGGTTCACTGGTTTTTGATTTGCAATAGTCAAAGTAGTAAACTGGCGAACAGAAGTGAACAAATTTCTTTTTATTAATGACTCCACATCAGCCTGGTAGGTGTGTATGTTTTCTATTTTGTAAGGACTCCAAATGTATCCAAGTCTACTGATCGTGTATTACTCTGGCAGCAGAAACACCATGGACCACAAAACTGCAGGCAGATTTGAAATTTCTTTGTCACAAGAATTGATCTGTACTCAGCCAAGGAGTACAAAGAAGATTGCATTGTTTTCAGAAGGATGCTGGTTATTTTTTAGTTTTTAAAACTTTCATGCCAAATGCTCTCTTTACCTTGGTTAAAGACAGCATTAGAAGACAAACTTAACTCAGATTTTAAATGTCAGTCACAAATTAACTCTATTCTGCTATTTTTTTTTCCTGTAAAATTTAGTTAAAACATGTAACCATAGCTTCATTGAAGTATGTATATGTAAAGAGAGGACAGCTCTTTTTTAACTTCATGGATCTATAATTGCTTATGAATTTCAGAGAAACACTTGTAGAAGTTAGATTGGGGATGGCATTTTATGGGCTTGAGGTAATTGAATACAACATAGCTGCTGTTTGACTATAACTCAGAAATCTAAATTATGTAAATCTACTGTTTCAGAACCAGCTAGTAGAAAAAATCATCAATTTTGCAGTTGAAGATGTTTTCTTCGGATAAATCCTCTGACACACTGCTTTCCTATTGATGCATTTTTTTCATTATGGATGTGAAGGAGAAACTATAAGCATGCTAGCCTTTAGCTTTTTGACGTTTGTGACTCCACTTGAATAAGCTTTGACTTAGTTAATTAAGCACAACTGTCAATGAGTTTCAAGGGCTTATGCAGAAATAAACTTTACCTTTATGAAAGCATTGGGGTAGGATAAAGGAGAAATCTTCTGGGAAAGTGTCTCAAGCATATTTTTCCTTTCAAGTTGTGCAGCTCAGTTGGGATGGTGTTCAAAAGATCTCTCTCCATAGTTATCAGTGACCCATCTTTGTGCAATAATCACACTTTTCCTATAGAAGAAAGAGAGAATAGATTATAGCTTGCAATTCATCTTCTAGAGCATAATATAATGTTTACTGTGCTGCAGCTGTGATCAAAATACTATCTCTCCAGCATCTACAAAATTGGAGCTCAGGGCTAGTTGTAAGTGTTCGGTTGTCCAAAAAATCCAGGCAGCCCCATCTGGCTTTTGAACTCAGCTTTTCTCTTGGATACCGTAAGATGGGTTTGAAATTGTGTCCATGGAGGCAGGACGATAAAATTAAAAGGAGGAGAATTTCTGCTCTGCCTACAGTTTTGCGTGTCCTTACCAGGGAGAAAGGGAGATCCCTTAATGGAAGACTGGTACTCAGGCAGCCCATATGCATTGCCTGGCATCTTGCAAGTAGGTGCAAGTGATTCAATTTTATGGGAGAACAGAGGGGAAAATTGCTTGTTTACTTTTCTCCTTTCCCCTGCCCCCCACTTCTTGACTACATTTAAAAAGGTCAGATTACTTCCATGAGAAAAAGCTTAGGTAATGTGTGAAGCTCTGCTTGAGACCAGAGAAACTCCTAAGAGGACTGTTATGCTCCCAGCTGATGTGCTGTCCACCGGTGAGTAGGAGAAGGAGGTAATTATGGAGAAATTCTGGCAGAGGTAGGAGAGGCAGAGTGTGACTCACCCTCCTTTAGAGGTGTGGGACACTTGTATTCCAGTGCCTGCTTCAGTCAGTGTTGAATTATTTATTCAACCTAGGGAGGATAAACTGATTTTTATTTTATTTTTTTATTTCAGTGAGGGAAATTTTATTTGAAATCTATTTTGTATTATTTCAGGAAAAAAAAAATTACTCCTACAGGCATAGCTGGAGGCTGTGTGCTAGGCACACTATTGTGTGAATAGGGCAGATAGCTAACTAAAAATGAATATTTGGACATCTGTGCCTTCCCATTCCTTCGAGATCTAGCTGGGGAGTGATTCTCAAGTGGTATACGTAAAGAATTTCAGCATATAGCTTTCTGGAAAGATCTTGTTTGGAGAGAAAGATCTGGTATCCTATTAAGAAAATGGTAGTTTGCACTGCATATAAAGAGTTGTGTTTGTTTATGCGCTAGCTGATTATTTAGTTGTTGGATGTTTTCTAATATTTGCCTTGGACTGTAAAATAGAAGGCATTTTATTAAATGTTGGGTGAAATGGTGTTTGTGCAGCACCTGATAGTTACTGTCAGAAGAAGAAAAAAATAACACGCAGCTCACTATTTGGAAACCTCTGGATTTCAACTTGCATGTATTGTCTGTGCTAGCTGATCTAATAGGCAACTGAATTGCAAAGCATCTGACTTTCATGGGCACACATCCTGGCCTTTTTGGCAAAGAATAATTTTTCAGCTTTAGAAAGGATTTATTCTACCTGCCAGTGTGATTTATATACCATATGTCTCCTCTTCAGCATCTGAGTATCCATGGCCATAGGGAAGTGCTCTGCCTCATCTACAGTGTGTGGAAATAGGTTTCTTTTAATTATATTAACTCCTACAGAGCCACTGTATTACCTCTCTGTATTTTTTTTTTCTTGCCAGTTGTGTCAGCTATACTGTGTGTGATGTGGAAAGGAGAATACTATGAATTCCTGGTTTTGTTTGCTCTTGGCAGGCACTACTACACTTCCCACCCTTGTGCGCACACCTACCTTGATGATGCAGCCCTCCCTGGATATCAAACCCTTTATGTCCTTCCCTGTGGACAGCAGCTCTGCTGTTGGATTCTTCCCAAATTTTAACACAGTAAGTAAAGATGTTTCCACATTTAGTTTCAGTGTATGCTTTCCAAGCTGGTTCTAATATCCACTGTGGAAGCTGCCTTAAAATAGTGCATCACTGACACAATTCTAGAGCGCTCTCTTTGTCTCTGCTGTGGCAGTTGCTGTTCCCTTGTGCGAAAGGCTCGGAGTGGTACCCAGCCTTCTCACTAAGCTAAGTCTGTTACAGCCAGTGAAGCAACTGGAGGATCATGTTAATTCTGCTTAATAACAATCAAGTCTAAAATTGCACAGCCAGCCAATGTGAAAAATGTGAACCTGCTACTTTTAGTTGATGGTAAACCATCATGGGGATTTTGCAAAAAAAAAAAAAAACTATTGCCAAAATAATGCTCATTGCTTCTGTAGTTCTCCATGTTTATCAGAGCAGCAATAACAAAAATACTCTTTTCTGTAGCTCTTGATTCTTTTACAGCTCATAAAATGGTTCTGAACGTTATCAGAATGCTTTTTTGCTATCGCACTTTATCATTTGTTTAATTAATTGCTATCTTAAATGTATTGAGTATGCCAAAACCAATATTTCGCATGTTGTCACTCAGGTTTCCATGTGTGGAGGTAATTCAGCATGGAACAAGTCAGGAAATAGTAAGATAATAGCAACAGGAAGGCAACTGCTCTGGGTCATTTCTGCCAAGTCAGCAAGTGTGATCTCTTCGTATGTGACCGTTGCCTGAACTGTACAGCATCACACTTGTTACTGTAATTGTGGGGGGGTGGAAAGGGAAGCAGTGTCACCACTGCCAGACAGCGATCAGCTGAACCACTGCCAAGTGTTTCCTTTTGCAAACTCACCTTCTGTCTGAAGTTAAAACAGCAAGAGGTTTTTTTTTTTTCTTCATGACTTTCAAATACATCTTGCTGACAGTCCTTGTGCTACAGCACGTGGTGCTGTGTGATGGTTATGAGGTAGTATATCAGCCAGATTCTTTCAAATGTCAGCAGCCCAATGCGTATTATAAACAGTAGCATATATTACTGATTTGTTGCAAAATGTACATGTGAAAATTGTGTGTTGGAGGAAGATGTGGGGGTGTGCAAGTGTATAGACTAGGGGGATACACACATGTGCATGTGTACAGAGATAAAAGATTTTTAAAAATCCAGGTATGTTTAAAGTGCGGGACCAAAACTCAATACAATTTTAAGCAAGCAAGCAGTGTGTCATTCTCACCTTCCAGGCATGATGCAATTTATATTCATTTCCATCCTCTTTCTAATACATTCTAGAATTTTATTTGTTACTGATTTGTCTGCTTTCCAGTTGCACTGACTTTATAGGTGAGCTTTTTCACAGAACTGTACATAAAGACTCAGAGGATCCATTCTATTGGGATGCTGTAGTTGTAGAGTCAAGCAACTTTATTTCCTTACTGATGGTATTACTGAATTTCTGAGTTACAGTAGCCTCTAGAGACAGATTAATTTGGATATTTTGACTGCTTTTGCCTATGCAACTAGCTTACATTTATCTGGGTTACGTTTCATTTGCCTGATTCCTGGAATGTTTATCCTTCACACTTGTCATTCCTCTCCAAACTTCTATGGGTTTTATTGAAAAGAAGAGGCCTGGGGTAATCAGCAAATATTGTCGGCTCAATGTCTACTTCCTCCCTTGGAATTCTTGATAATCATATAAAATCATGCTGCTATGCACCACAGACACCACATGTTTAAACTTTCTTTTCTTGAGGAAAAATTGTTCAGTACTACTCTAATTCACAGACTTTGCCATTTACCTTGCAGGTATTGACTTTCCCTAACAGTCTTTTACAATGGACTTTAAAGCTCATTGGAAAACTAAATCATTCATGGTAATCTACTGATGGGCACAGTGAACGCCAGCTGTCATGTATTTCCTTTCTTTCTAACTCAGCACAATCTTTACAAATGTAAATTTCTGTGTTTGCATAGATAAAATACATTTTTTTCTTTTTCACTGTAAAGTGGTGGTGGGAGTATGTAAAAGTTTGTAAAAAGTGTTTTTCCAGAGGATAGATTTGAGTGACTAGAAACTAAATCCAGTTGACCCATAATGTATGTGTCATCCAGAGTGCCTTAATTTTTCATCTTGTGCAAAAACAGAATATTGGAAGAGTTTTTTTTGTCCCATCCATCCCAAAAAGCCATCTTTTGCCTTATGGATCAATCAGGAAATCTGTGCACTTCACTCACAAGAGGACTTGTCAAAGACTATAGACTGTGAAACCTCTAGTATGCAACACTCCATCTCTTTGACTTCAGCAGGACTGAGGGTCCCCTGCAGCACATGCCAGGGGCTGCTGTTCATGCTTGCAAGTGTTCACTGAAGGTGGCAAAAAGAAATGTGGTCTCAAGAGAAAGCTTCTTTGGATCCACCTGTTCATTTTCAATAGCATTCAGATAAGGGAACATTTTACTAAACCTTGCCAGGAGGTGGTTTCTAGCTTAATTTCAGTGGCCTGAAAACAAACATGTTTAAAGGAACACCTCCTACAGTGTTTCCAAAAGAACTTCTCTTATTTATGGAAATATATTTAAAATCTGGGGTAAACCCTTTCTTATATAGTTAGCTTTGACATTTTCAATTCTGAAAACATCTGTGATGCTCCAGATGAAACATCAGTGTTCCCATTTAGTTTGTGAAAGTGTTCTGATCACTTTCTTCTCTCCACATGGGGTACTTCCAAAAGAAGCACTGAGCAGGCCTTGATTTTTTTTTCAAAGAAGTGATTACTCCAAGTATATCTTATTTTCTTGACAGAATTGTGTGATTTAGTTTAAAATGCCTCCCTTCTGTTTCTCCTAAAAATGTTAATAGTTCTAAAAATGCTGTACATATACGTATAGTACTTATCAGTTCATGCCCCAATTAAATTTGTCTTTTTTCCCTAGGACTTGCTTATTATATAGGAAAAATTAATTGGGCAATGATGGCACTAACTCCTTGGATACATGCCTTTATTCCTCAATAAGGGTGCATTTTTGTTTCAACAGATCAGCCAGAAAGGGATCTTTTAAGGGCAGAATGAAGGATTCCAGCAGAGAGGTATTGCAGAACAGGTGCTCTCTTCTTTCCTGGTCTTTATTGTTTCTTTTCATAGCACCAGGAAATATTTTGGTCAGAACAGGACAGGCATGACGTGACTGTCACAGCCTGAACCTGAATTCTTGCACAGGAGGACAAACCCTCTCAGAAGTGCTGCAGCAGTGGATCCAAAAGTGACATCATGTTTGTCCTGGCATCAAATTGTAAAAGCTCTTGCTCAGTTACTCACACCCCTCTGAAACGCACAGCTTGAACCAAATTCTGGCCTGGTATTACTTAAAATGTTCTTGTTTATAGCAGAATGGCAGTCAGCGTTACACAAACTTCCCAAATTAGTACCTCCAATTTGGAATGGATGCTGTATGAAAAGGTATTGTTTAAGCAGAACTCTTTTTTAGAATGCTAAAATGACTCTAACGATTCCTTAACATGTAATGTCTTGGACATTGATTATGTTTAGAGATCTATAAGACGTCAAAGTCAAGCGCATAAAGTCAATGGAAATCAAAGCTAAGATTATTGTGGTCCCCATTGTGTGTTTATTATACTGTAATCTTGAATTTTATACTCCCTGGCTTCCACCACACAGCTTTGCCTTCTGTACCATTCTTTCTTTACACCTCCCTGATTCTTTGTCTCATGTCACCTGTCTTGTGTACTGAATGGAAAGAGGAAGCTTTGTAATCACATCATGGAAGGTTACCACGACGCATGCTCTAAAGTGGCTGAAAGCCAGGATTTGTTTTGCAAGGGGAACTTAATGATCGCTGTCTGCATTGCCCTATAAAGGATGTATAATCCCCAGAAAAAAAAAATCTCAAAACTCCAACATGTTCTTTGTCCTGAAGTGAGAGCAGCACTATGTAATTTAAATTTAGTTGAAGTGGTACAGCCAGGGAGCCATCAGTCTGCACAAAAGCAGTATCAGCAACTTCTCAGATTCTATCATCATAGAAAATAATCAGCAATTCATATGCTTCCTTCTGAGTTTGTTATGGCCTCAGGGGTAATCAAAGATTATAGCATCTCTTGTAGCTTTCACGTTAGTGAAATATTTTCCGTCTAACTAGCCCATGATTGGTTTCTAAATGCTGGTTCATACCTTCATATTTTAGAGGACACACGGGTTAACGTGGCCTACTTACTGCTTCAGTGTCTCTTTCTCTTCAAGTAGGTTTATGGTGATTCTTTATATTAGAATTCCCTCAGTTCCCTTGTGAAGTGGACCAGAAGTATTTTACATCTGCCAGTGAAGGTGAGCCAGCTGGAATGGGCTACAGGAAGGGAAAGACGAGCTGAGTAGTAACTCAGAAATCTCTGTCTCTTCTCCAGCATCAGCCTTGCCTGGACTAAGTATCCCTGGCCTACCCCCAAGACAACTACTGGGAGGGACTAATTTTCTCTTTCCTCTTCTGTATTTTCAATTATGTCCCTCATTTTTATTTGCTACCTATCTAGTTCTCACTTGAAGGGCCCAGTAATCAGCCAAGGAAGAAGTGGAGGTCTGCAGATAAGAGCGTGGGGCACTCGTATCGCCGGCTCCACTCGCCCTTCTGTGCCAAGCGCCTCTTCTGTGCTTGGCACAGCGCCGTGGCTCGGGAGATTTCTCTTTCCTTAGTAGGGTCTGAATTCAGCCACTTAACGCTGTGCTGCAGTGCCAAAGTATGCTCTAGAGCTCAGGATTGTATACAGGAGGAGCAAATTACAGATGCAGCCAACTGGATGTTGCCAACCTATTATCTATGGTCCTCTTGAAGTAGCCTGTCCGTGTGCTCTGATTTCTCCATTTCTCTTTTATGAAGTGCTGGAGGGAAGTGACCTGCTCTGCTCCTCTCCCACTGAAACACTCTGCTCCAGAGAGCAGGTGAAGTTTTATAAGAGCTATACTTTACGCTCATTAACAGCACAGAAAGGAAATTTAAGCAATTCACTTAGAA